CACATAAAAGTTAGATCGCGTAGAGCTCGACCAAAAGAGGTTTTTAATGGCATGGTGGAAATTTCTCAACATTATGTTTACAGGTGATTAACATCTCAATATTTCTTCTTTCAGTTATCATATGTCAATTAAGTTGTGATCACAAAATGTCCGTATATTACACTAAGAGGAGTGTGTATGGTAAAAATTATTCCTAGTTCACTTTACCTGCTAAGTTATACGAAAAATAGAGTTGTCTTTCTAACACACTGACAATAAGTATATGGTCTTCATCTTCAAACTATTTGACTAATTGTCCTTGATGGTTCGTTGATTACTTCACGACACTTAAGATGTCAGCCGACTTTGTACCGAAAAAGGACGACTGTACACCTTGTAGGTATTTGTGTGTGTGTTGTGTGTGGTGGTGTGTGTGTGTTTTGGTGTGTGTGGGGGTGTGGGTGTGTGTGTGTGTGTGTGTGTGTGTGTTGGTTGTGTGTGTGTGGTGGTGTTGTGTGTGTGTGGTGTGTTGGTGTGTCTGTTGTGTGTGTGTGGTGGTTGGTGTGGTTGGTGTGTGTGTGTCCTTTCACTCCCGTCCTTCAGCGTCGCTCCAGTAACCTGAGTATGTTGTCGGGACGACCTCACGCACTGAGATGACCCTAAGACAGCGTCAAGTAAATAGTGGTGTGTAAAGTATGTCACCCCCGTGAATTCCTTTTTGGTCTGGTAGGGTGACCTGTACCCAACGTTGATGACTCGATTGACGTGGGTTTATGGTCTTTTATCCAGTTTTGTAGACCTGTAATGTCCCTTTTAAGCCTTCATAAAAGATTTGAGTCGAGTTGTAGGTATTTGTTTTATTAAGTCGTAATTGTTGTCCTTTTGTGAGTCATGTGTCCTCATACGTCTCGTCTACAATAAAATTGGCATCCGACAGAACAGTCAAGAAATTGTCTATCCGAAAAACCGTGGGTCAGGTTGTACAATTCAATCCTTAATAACAAAAATTCAGTCGGCAAAAACAGACCCCCCCCCCAAAGTGCACTGGCCTATCTAAAGTCAAATGTCATTTACCCTTGTAATGCCTATTAGTCATGACACAAATAATAAATCGAACTTTTGTTACTAGTTCTTCTCTTCCTTCAGACTTCCTTACAGAGCCCCTCCTCCAACACACACGAACACGCACATGACCAATGAGGGCACGAGATAAGTTTGTGCACAGATGGAAGGCTGACAGGCAGGTAGGCCATCCAGTTATTTTAGCCGGGCCGGCTCAGATGATTGGTCGTGCTTTTTACAGCGCCACGGCTTCCACTGATGATATTTGTTTATGTATTTTTTGTCAAAGCATTTCATATATTCATTGCTATCGGGATGTTAAGAGCATTCCATGGAATATAACAAAAAGTGTTTCTGAAGTGAATTACCTACCCCACCTTTAAATTATATTATATTACATTCTATTATATTGAATGAGATACTTCATGGTTCCAGCTTTTACATTTTTAATTATTGTACACATTTGATTGCCTAAATTGACCTGATCCCCTGTAGCTGCAGACTCACCTGGATGTGGCTCAGGTAGGCGTGGATTCTGGAGACGGGAGCGAGCAGCAGAGAGAGGAGCTTCATCTCCTCCTGACCGCTCTGAGGAACACAGGGAGGAACATTCATTCGGTTCTGTAACAGGAAGTAAAGGTTTCTCAGGTTCTTTAACAGGAAGTAAAGGTTCCTCTGGTTCTTTAACAGGAAGTAACGTTCCTCAGGTACTTTAACAGGAAGTAAAGGTTCCTCAGGTACTTTAACAGGAAGTAAAGGTTCCTCAGGTACTTTAACAGGAAGTAAAGGTTCCTCAGTTACTTTAACAGGAAGTAAAGGTTCTTCGGGTACTTTAACAGGAAGTAATGTTCCTCAGGTACTTTAACAGGAAGTAAAGGTTCCTCTGGTACTTTAAAAGGAAGTAAAGGCTCCTCAGGTACTTTAACAAGAAGTAAAGGTTCCTCAGGTACTTTAACAGGAAGTAAAGGTTCCTCAGGTACTTTAACAGGAAGTAAAGGTTCCTCTGGTACTTTAGCAGGAAGTAACGTTCCTCAGGTTCTTTAACAGGAAGTAACGTTCCTCAGGTACTTTAGCAGGAAGTAACGTTCCTCAGGTTCTTTAACAGGAAGTAAAGGTTCCTCAGGTACTTTAACAGGAAGTAACGTTCCTCAGGTTCTTTAACACAAAGTAACGCTCCTCAGGTACTTTAGCAGGAAGTAACGTTCCTCAGGTACTTTAACAGGAAGTAACGTTCCTCAGGTACTTTAACAGGAAGTAACGTTCCCCTGCTGTGTATTGATTTTCTTCTGTAATTTAACCCAAATAAATCTGCTCCTCCCCCTTTTCTAAAAACAAATATATTTGTTACCAGTTTGCACCTTTTGATAAAAATCTATAATAATTTGACACTGTTAAAGAATAAATACATACTATCTGAATTAGAAGTGAAAGAGTTGTGCAGTTTTAAATTGTTAATATTGTGCAGACACGTGCTAAATGATCACAGTTTGATGAAGGTCATGTTTACCTGCTTCTTCTCAGAGACGCTGATCCTGTTGAACTCCAGCGAGAGGAAGGAGGCGAGCGTGGTCGTGTATCCGAGGTACATCTTTGAGAACGCCGTCTGCAGGACACGAAGCGAGAAACTCAGTTCAGGGTTCAGAGTAAAGGACGGAAATCATTCTCAGATCAGTAACTCACGTCGTTCTGTCCGATGAGCTGCACCACGATGTCTCCGATCAGAGACTTCCAGTGTTCTGCAGACAGTCTCTCCTGCAGGGTGTTCCTGAAGAGCAGGTGTCTCTGCAGCAGCTGCTCCACAAAACTCACAAACGTCTGACTGAGAGACACAAAAACACACACACACGTTTTCTGATTTCACAACGAGAGGAGCGGAACTGCAGGTAAACATGATTTTTCAGGTGATTTGGCGATATTTTAACTTAACATATAGAAACCGGCAGCAGAAGTAATAGGTTGATTAGATATCAGATTCATTTATTTTATTTTAACCTATTTTGTTATTACTTATCTTATTTTATTTAGCAGCATTTTGGGCATTTTCTATTTTTTAGCTTTTTATTTTTGAAGCAATTCAATTACAAGTTGATTGATTTGTTATTATTTATTTGCTTATTATTTTATTGAGCAACATTTTTTGCAATTTGTTTATGATGATGATACATTTTATACATTTATATAACAACTACAATGTACAAAACTTAAACCACACTAACTCTTAAAGGTAGGCAGGTAAGAATGGAGAAACCAGCTCCACTGCGCTAGAATTTGAAAATACACAACCGGAAAAAATCTGCCCCTTCCTTCAGACTTCCTTACAGAGCCCCTCCTCCAACACACACGAACGCGCACATGACCAATGAGGGCACGAGATAAGTGTGTGCACAGATGGAAGGCTGACAGGCAGGTAGGCCATCCAGTTATTTTAGCCGGGCCGGCTCAGATGATTGGTCGTGCTTTTTACAGCGCCACGGCTTCCACAGATGATATTTTTTTATGTAGTATTTATTGTCAAAGCATTTAATGTATTCATTGCTATCAGGATTTTAAGAGCATTCCATGGAATATAACAAAAAGTGTTTCTGAAGTGAATTACTTACCCTTCCTTCAATTATAGTTTTATTTATTATTTTAAAACACCCAAAACTTCCCTCTGAGTTGCAGAATTCATACAGAAACCATGATGAGTAAAGTTGTGTTTGTATGTTTGTATATATAAAGGTGTNCACGAAGGGGCTATGCCAGGTTCGTAGGCAAATGATAATAAGCATCCGGCATACTCACTAGAGAGAAGTGTCAGGCTGACAGATACTGTAATGCAGCTGGAGGGCAGGCAGAGGACTGCAACCGCGGCAAATGCCACTGAAAATGATGTGCAATGGTCAGTAAGGACGTTAAGCAGCATGCCTGAGAGATTTTGATTGGCACACTGCCTGTCGGAAACACTGCAGTAAAATATACCCATGGGATTTAAGAAGTGGTTTAAATCAGCGGGTTCATTTGTAGATTTATGTAATGAGTACAGATAAGTTGATCCCTCCTAACAAAAAGCATCCCACCATATTTATTAATTTTATCTATTGGCGTACATTAAATCTAACTCACAGGAACAATAAAACCAGATGCAAACCTGCACTTTATCTCAGCGACTGTTTCGCTCTGATTATTAAATAATCAGGCAGCAGAATTGATTTGAATTCTCCCGATGATTCGGGGGCACCTTTGGGGAAATTAATGAACTAAGCTTAATGAATCTGTTAATTAAAACAACTCCCTCTCTAATAGAAAATGGCTGATGAAATAATTGCGATCTATCATTAGAGCTTACTCTCCAAACAACAATAACTGTCTCTGAGTATTGTCTCAGCCGCACAGCACATAGGTTGGAATGAAAGTGTTACCTGGGTATAATGTCTCATTACAGAGCAGTAAAACCGAACCCACGCATATTTACCATTTACATATTTTGATATAGATGTTGACCTAATGCTTGTAAAATAACATACGGTCTTGAATCAGGACCTCCGTCAGCATTTTTAATTAAAGATGAATGAGGTTTTTATGTTAATGCCATGTCGGTTATGTCGTAAAATACAAATCATTCACTAGGTAAATACTTCATCAAATCAATCAATGTTTATTTAGTATAGCCCAATATCACAAATGTTATCATTTGTCTCAGTGGACTTCACAGTTTGTAACGAATGTCAGCATGAAAATACTTGCCAAATAACTTTTAAAATGTAACAGAGACATGCGACAAAGTTTGAAAAACTAACCGTCTGTAAATGACAACCCTATTTCAAGAAGAGTGTCATTGTTAATTATGGAGCATCCCAAATGTCCATCGGCTTAAATGTTTTCGCTACCAGCCAGGACCATCCTCCATCACTGCAGCTTTCTAAACTGTCACGAAGAATATTCCTACTGTCATCAGGGCATCAGGCTCAGAAGACATATTGCTCAAATCTGCCGAATCATTAACCAGTGTTCCTGTTTTGCTTGTCTGTGTCTACACCAGAGGGTGTCAAACTCAATTTCATCAACGGCCAAATTGGAATTATGGTTGCAATCAAGGGCCGGTTGTAACTTTAAGACTATAATAAATATTTAATATATATAAGATGATGTACTATATTAACATTATTGGGCTCTTATACACAAGTAGTAATATATATACATAATTAACTACGTCTGAAAGCAGAAGTCTAGGGTCAATAATTACAAGTCTCTTCAGTGAGAATGTCACAAAATGATTTAAAAAGAAAAGCCAAATTCTGGAAAAAAAAGTGAAATTTGGGGGGGAAAAGTAAAATTTTTAAGAAAAGCAACGTTTTGAAAAAAACATCTTATTCTGAGAAAAAGTCAAATTCTAAGAAAAAAAGGCATATTTTGAAGAAAAAACAGTCAAATTCTGAGAAAAAAAAGTCCAATTTGAGATGCATTGTGGGACATGTAGTTTATGGGCAACGTGCTTCTGTAAATCGGCCTGTAACCGTATAATAAACATATTATATTCTTTGCAAGCTCTTGTGGGCCACAGAAAATTAAGTCACGGGCCGGATTTGGCCCCCAGGCCTTGAGTTTGACACCCCTGGTCTACACTGTACATGCCAGGTTAAACTGAAAGATTGCAACTTATTGGATGCATGTTTTGTATTCAGTAAAGTATAGATATAATCTGTGAAGGAAGCTTCCACTTTTTATATGGACGCACTAGACAAGTCTGGTCTGGTTTCAGACAGAGGGTGAAAAAAGATGCTGCAGCACAGGTAGTATGAGACATATAAAGGGCTTTTTGAGCATAAAAGCATGGAGACATGTCCCAGTAGAGACACTAAATACAAATATGGACCTGAAAATGAAAATGAAAATAAAATGTTCTCTTTAAGGGACTCTCAACCACAGGGCCCAAGTATATGAGCGACATTATTGGTCCATGTTGCTGCCTCTTACGTCAGCATTTACCTGAGATTGGATTGAAATGTCGACCAGGGCTACATCAATGTGAAGGGTGGATGTAAAAACAGATTGTTGCTGAGAGGACACACACACTGCAGCTAATGCAGCCTGGCATGATTGGATGTGCATTGTCACTGCAGAGACAGACGTGACAACAGCTTTAGACAGGCAGCGAATCGTCAACATCCAACAGTGGCTAAGACCAAGACTGACACTGAGAGGTCAGAAAAGTGGCCTCGATAAGGAGCTAGAGATTGAACCCAAGTATTTATATAAACATATATCATACAGCCTCCAGTACTCTGCAAAGTGCCTTCCCTGCTGTCCACACCAAGGCAAGATTAACCCAGACCAAGACAGGGCCGGCCCAGTTATCCTAAATCAGTTTTTTATGGTACCTGCATTATTTATGGCCAGAGCGAAGGTCATAGTAAGCAGTGGGAAGACTGGGGTCCTACCTGTAGCGGCCGCTCATAACTCACCTGTCAGCTCTCGCACCAAGCCCGGGATGATTAAGCACCCCGGCTGCCCAAATCTGACTGTGGGCCAACTTGCTCCTACTTAGCCTCTGTCTACGAGTGTGGCACTTGTCTGCCATGCTGGAACAACCGACTCCCGCCATCCACCCCCCTTTCTCTTTACCTCCCTCTGCTTGTGGTTTGTCTCTGTCCCTGCTTCCATTGCTGCCTGCTTCTCTCTTGTCTTGTAGTACACAATGTCTCAGGGAGGAAAACACACCACCTCTGCAGATAATGAAGTTTTGCCATGCTGGGAAAAAACTCATGCCTGCACCTGTCTGTGCTAGTATGAGGCAGGCACACACTCGCATTCACACATATGGATACGGAAGGATAAACATGGATAAAGACAAGCAGTATCTCTGCATTGTAGGAATAGGAATTGATTCACAATTTTGAACGAAGATGACTTGTTTGGTTTAAATTGCAGCCAAGACAAGATCATATTTATTTAACTAGATGGTGAGACGAGGGATGTCTGAGTTTTTCCAAACATCGGCAGGTTTTTATTTCAAATGGATGCTTACTTTAGTGACTTAAATGACATGGTAAAACACGAGAGGAGTACATTAGGGCTAGCATTCATGAAAAGACCTTAAAGAGTAATTACATTTCCAGTGAAGACCCTCTTGAAGCTCTTAAAGGACCCCAAGGAGTCCTAAAACCCCACCGTTAAAACTTTGGTTATAAAAATACACTGCAGTATACATATACATCCGCAAAATCAATAATCTCATTGCATAATCCTGCAAAAAACGAATATATTTTCCAACAATACTGAGATCTCCTGCTTGTTAATCTCAAGCTGACTGAAGCACCTCTTGTGTGCAAATGCATTTGTGTAGTTGATGCCTTCAGGGAACTCATTTCCCATTCCACGACATCCCCCACTCATCGTTATGCTAGCAACCTGATTTCATAACAAGAACAAACGATTTGTCTCCATTGTATTCTAACTCTGTCATGACCTTATTCATTGGTCCCTGGGCCCTGTGGGGGGTAATGTATGAGCAGCCATACTGCTCTGCATATCAAATGCAAAACCTTTTCTTACTAACAATGTGTCTGTTGGAGAGGGCTGTTGCATTGAGTGTAGAGGCCATATTGGTGAAAATATGTAAACTGGTCATAGTTAATCAAACAATTTAGGTTTGTTGTTATGTTTACTTGCTTTTTGGCCACTTGATCTTTCAATTAGTATTATACGCTCACTGTTATGACACAGGCAAGAGGTGAGTCCTCTCTAATATACCCCTGGCTGATAGCTGTGGTATTGCAGTTGTCTTGCTCCACCGTTCAGTTCAGCAGGAAGAGAGGGGAAGCAGGGAGGCGTCAGGGAGGGGGGAGGAAAAGTTGGCTTTGGTGCCAAAGTGATTGTGCTTGGGGAATGGTATTTCTGACATTTGTCTGGCAGATAAAAACCACCATCAGATATGAGGAACAGAAGGTCAGTGTCCTCGCTATCAGATAGCGATGGTTTGGCATCTTGTTTGATGACTTGCTCTGCTCAGGAGAGCCAAGAGGTTGGCGCTGAGCATGTGACCGA